TGGCGTGATACTAGTCACGTGACCTCGCTGACGCAACAGTATCATCAGTGATGAGCCTGCCAACAAAAATAATTTTAGGTCACTTCTCACATTTCAGGCTTTAATAGACCATATAATGTGACCTTCTTTTCTGTTTTGGGTCATCTGATTTCTGTTATATTTTTTGATGTAACGTTTATTATTATCCCGCAAGGTAAATACACTACTTACAAAATAAAATTTAAACTAGGTCGTGTAAGCCTTCCGTTACAACACTTATTAATGAGTTGTTGCTTTATATAAGTTCTTTAAAAATGAAGAACAGAAGAAAAGCTATGAAAGCTTAAGAATTAATGTCTTCGTATTATTACAACTTTCTATTCTCACCTGCTACTAGATTTCTTATTGGTCTCAGGACGGTACTTTTTTTCTATCTAGTATTCGTTTCTCTTTTCGTACTCATTTTAATAATGTTTATATATTCTGTGTCCCTCTTTAGTATTGTATTGTATATATATTTTTATTTTATTTCTTTTTTTTTCATTGTTACAATAAAAACATTGCATGATAAAACCTATTGGACTGTTGAGCTGCTTTAACCTGTTATTTCTGTTAGAGTATTTCTATGCATATTCTATACCTTTCCATTACCCCTTGATTAATTTCAATTTGTTCTAATCTTGTTCAATGTAATGAGTGAACGTATTATAGGGTATACTGTTTACTACTTTATGTCACTACATGTCACTTTGTGCATATACGTATAGTAACGTATTGTATTTTGATAAGCCTACTTGATAACATCAGAAGTTGCATTGGAAAGGCGTCAGCCAAATCAATTAATAATAATAACAATCTGAGTAGTAACAATAGGCTTTGATCTCCTTAGGAGCTTCGTACCCTATTAATATCTGTTTGTTTTGTTATTGTTGTTGTTTTTACATATTTCAGATTTAATTCCATAACCAACAGTCCCCTAGTGGCTCAGCGGTAAGTCTGTAGGCTTACGATGCTAAAAATCTGACTTCGATACCTGTGACAGGCGCAGCACAGATAGCTCATTGTGTAGCTTTGCGCTTAACAACAACCAACCAACAACCATATTTTCACTTAGATGTTGTTGTTGTTGTGTTATTTTAATGAACACACTAATAGAGTAATTGTTTTGCTCCAGTGTATGATGAATACAATAAATTATTTATTTGATATAGAATATGTGTCCTCTTCTCACTCCTGTACTTCAGCATTATTTTATCACAATAATGAATATCTAGTAGGATGTACTGAATTTACTGAATCCTGAGCAACATCTTGTACAAGATCCTGGTGTGATTATGTAGGTTCCTATAGGATCCTGTTCAAGATTTCAACCAGGAAAGAAATGCAATATGCGACATGTAAAACATTACACAAAAGTAGTAATCCATATACCACAATAAAGTTCACGTACTACAGAGAATGACATTAAAGTACAATTAGCTAAAACAATGGAGATCTGTGATTACCAGTAGAATGTAATTGACATTTTCTTTTATTATCTTAAATCCTTGTACAATTAGAAAATATACATACCACACCCACTGTAAAGTGTTATGTCCTTAGTATAGGTCTGACCAAATTGTGGAAGTTTATTTTGGTCCAGTATCGTCATGTTGTATACGTACCCTATTTATTTGTATATAGCAACTTAGTCGTAACTAAGAGCGATGGCCGCAGCAAGATGGCGCCCAAATAGCATACATTAGCTAATAGCAATTGAACGTGGACGTCATATCTAGTCTATTATAGGATATCTATGGCATAAATGCATTATTTTTTTCGAAATTCTTAGGCATGCTCTATTCCTAGTAAACGTAATTCAAAGCGCGGAAAATCATTAAACTAAAAACATATATCTGAATATTTATATAGAATGTTTGGAAATTATATCGGCAAATTCAGAAACACAAGTGAACAACTGGTTAACATAACTTCCGGACAACCTGCATATACGTATATAGAAGAATAAGAATTTCACTTACTGATGGAACTCTTTAAAGTCAGTAAATGGAAACAAAATGATACACATTTGGTTCTTGGAATTAAAGGTATTGACTAAGTTAAGTGTAAAACAGATAATGATTCTGTCACTTCACTAAAACAACATTTCTTAGGTAAGTTTACAAACTTACAAAGCTAAAATCCGGAGTTGGATTTCCCGAGGTGGACAAAGCGCAGATAGTCCATTGCCTAACTTTGCGCTAAAACAACAACTACCAACAGAATATATTACAAAACATTGTAAATATGATCGTAATATATAACAAGGAAGCATGAAGATATTAGATCAACTTAGAAAACTTTGAGTGAATTGTTGTACATCTAACAATTCGAATAAATGTGGCTAAAATCGGCCACAGACGGTGTTTTGATTCAACAGTGAATATAGATGAAAAATGGAAAAGGGTCAGATATTTTTGTTGTGTATTAATTGTTTTCAGAGCGAATCATACTTTTGGAAATCTCTCAAAAGTCACCAGAAAGCATACTTTTAACCCTTGCAGAATTTTTATAGTCTTTTCTCCTAATTAGTTTTAAGCGATACCAAAATACCACAAAACGTTTTCAAGTATCTACGAACAAACTAAAACTTATTTAAAAAAATTAATATATATGTGGGTTGAACTTCAGTGATACGTAAACTTTATGTATATATTTAAAATAATCTAAATTGACATTGACAGACGTTGTTGATAACGTTTGTTGTGTTTTGCTCCAAATTTGAAAATCTACATACAATATCTATGTATTTCATATATATGTACCTGGAGTATACTGTGGATAACTCTTTAGAAACATTAAGGTTTTTCAGGACAAATTTTTATGTTGAAGGGTAACGTGTGATGCTACGAAACCAGTTTAATAAAAAAACATTTTGGGAAAAGAAAAGAACTGAAGTTTTGTTACACACACACACACACACACACACATATATATATATATATTCATAGTGTTAACTTTAATCGTTTTTAAAAAAGTAATGCAATGAACGTGTCCTTTGTTCTTTAAAGTACTCTTCTTAAATGTGTTTCCTCTTAGTTGTAATAAATAAGTTCCGTACGACAATGTATTCAAAACTAAAATACAATAACAATAAATTATGTTTCTTCCTCTCTAGATCCCAATATCCCTGACATTCCGTCTATCACACCCAACTCTGCTTTCGGCCTGCCTGGATCCTGCTATAGGCTCTGTCATGTGAGTCCACATCTCGAGCCAGGACCATGCAATCTTACTTTTTCTTGGGACAACTCTACGGAAACTACACAAGCTTCATTACCCACAAATTCTACCTATTTATTTACCACCTCTTCTTCAAGAGCGGTGATAAAGGCTGCAAACCAGCACCTTGTTGCAGGGCTTTCCATAGTGGTTGGTGGTTTGTGGCGCCACCTAGTAGCTAGGCATTGTACTCGGCGAAACACCAGATGGACCTGGCCAACAAACTTGAGGGGTGTTTGTAAAGAATCCACCAAGCAGAGGTGTAGCTAGTGTTACTTGTGATGAAACTTAAAATAAAACGAAGAAAAGGCAGTTTTGTGATTTCACAGTTACCTGTCATGTCCGAACAGAACAACTGACTATATAAGAAGGGCTTATAGCGCCGCCTCATAAATAGAAAAACATAATGCAAATATAGTCAAATGGTTATGCTGTTCCCCAAGAGAGAGATCATGTTGAAAAAACACGCCGTGTTCTTTATTTTCATCACTATAAGTAAAAGCTCTGAAATATAAAAAGCTTTGCGATAATAAATATTTCTTTGTCGAGAGCAGTTTTTGGTAGGTACAGTAAATTGATATTGCTTCTTCGTATTTTAATAAGTAATTTGTTTTACTGCAGAAGCAATTTTTTCAATAACATTGATTGATATCTATGATTTTTTTTTAATTTCTAGGGATAAATCACATTTATTATCTGAAGTCCAGCAGCGCCAGGTCAAATTTTCGTTTTAACTTTATAGAGTTGTACAATTATATTTTTTTATCGTTGTTCTGTCTCGTCGTGAGCTTAACCCTTGCTCGTAAATAAAATTCTGGCTGTGTAAGAAATCAATGGAAATATACAAGTGTATATTAAAAACATACGAGTTCTGTATACACTGCAAAAATATGACAATGATTATTCTAGCTCTTATATGCACATCTAACCGCCTTCAACATATCAAAACCGAATCAGAAAACCAATGCCCACCCAGTGGCACAGCGATATGTTTGCGGAGTTACAACGCTAGACTCCGGGTTTCGATACCCGTAGTGGGCAGAACATAGATAGCCCATTGTGTAGCTTTGTGCTTAATTACAAAGAAAACAAATTTTCTGTAAGTTTTATTCGCTAAAATAATTAAGTTATAGACAAATATTTTGTGGCACGCATGTTATTTTCCGTTTTATTTTTAAATACACCATGAGCGTTGGGTTAATTAAATTCACATAATAATAAATACTGAAGTTTCGATTTATTTTCTTTATAGAAAGCACGATCCATTTCGGAATTTCTTTGAAGTTTTCAAATGTTCCTGTCACAGTCGATACTCATACAACAAAACTTCTGCTTTACATATGTCAGATGTTGAATTGTTCTCATAACCATATTGACTGGCGCTGCTGGCAAATTGAAATTTTGTTTGTTATTTTGTTTTTAATTAAAAATAGATAAAATTTTATCCACTTTTTTTTTTTTATCTGCTAGCAGTGGTGGTTTGACTGCTGTGATGTTAATAGTTATTGCTGGTCGTTAACTGTTGCGAAAAATGTTTCTGGCTGGCTTATGATTTAAATGCATTTCATGGCTCTGTTTTACAAGATACGCCATTTCCTAAGTGAATAAATTGTTAGACTGGTATTAGTAATGGAGGCCATCTGGTGGATAATATTCATTTGAATTTCGGCTCGATAAGACATGCATATGAGCTTTGATGCTAGCGTGTGACGTAATATGTATCACGTGAAGAGATATCGCCTAGAACATTTGCATAACCACACGGGTATTCATATTGTCTTTCGAACTAACTTTCCGTTAATATACTTTTAAGAATTTTCTCTGTTTCGTGTCCAACAAAAACACGCTATCAGTCTGATTTAAAACCTTATTTCATAAAAGCACATCTAAGGATTCATTAATTAATATAACCATTTTTGTTTTATCATTAACAGAGGCGCCCGCAAGGGGGTAGAGGGGGCAGTGCCTCCCCCAGTGGGCATCAGGCCCACTATTCTAAACCGTCAAAGTCTGATGAGAAATGGAGAAGGCGTGTGTGCTTTCGAGCGAATATTTATTGGGGGAGCATAACTCTAAACCCTTCTATAGTTCACCCCCTCCCACCTAATAAGACCATCTTGCGGCCACCACTGATCATTAGAACAGATTGATATAAGCCTGCAGAAAAAAATAAACCATCTTAAATAACTATTTTCAGTTTTGATCCTGAACAGCTGTAAAGCGACTGGGTAAGGTCTTAATAATTTGGAATTTTTCCTTGCTTTTACTGTTTTTATATAAGCGAAACAACGAAGAATTTTTCCAATCGTCCTTGTTTTTATTACATTTCCAGGTGACTAGGAGTACAAACAACCAGTGATGTTTCTTGCAGTGCAGAGGAAAGTGTCATGGTTGTTTAGTGTTGCTATGTTAAGTAATGCGCAGAAAATGCACGCAATTCTGTAATGTTGTGTAATGCGAAAATAATATGCAGAGGTCGTTTTGACGCCGAAATAAAAACTTAGCTAAATAGTGTAGGCAGGAGAATATATATATATATATATATATATATATATATTTTAAATACTTAAGGATTGAGAACCACAGCGCAAGATTGTCTTCAAAGTTGTAGGGAAAACTAATCGAGATGCTTAACGATTGAGACTTCCAATTCAACATGGTATGCGCTGAGAAAATTGTTGGAACTCAAGATAAGTACAGCAAAGCGTATGTGACTTATTCTCCTGGATATGTTGGTGCTGATTTATTATATTCAATACCATTGAGTGAATACAGAGGGTTGTTAAATATGCATTGGTTTAAAGGTATTCCTTACAGTCTTCCGATTTTGACGTTATGGCTATATTTTATGACGTCATAACTTATCTATGTCCAATCCCAGAGACATGCGCGTGTATAGCATGATGCTGCTTTATATGATACGAAATGCAGTGAAACTTCGGAATTTCTCACTTTTTTATCGTGATCGTAGAATATTTTAATTTGCCGAGTATGTCGCACATTCCTGAATTTTTAAGCTTTAGATGTATTGTGGTTTACCTTGCGAATCAGCTATTCGACAGTTTTAAAACCTTACATATTCAATTTACACTACAGAAAATCGAAAGATTTCAAAGAAAATTAATTCCTTGTCAATTATTTTAATTATCAGTTTAATCATCAGCCATATTGAATTGATGTCTGTTTTTTTTTGTTCTTTAATATTACTTTGATATTTCTTTATCACAACCAATAAAGAATCTGACGGGAAACCCTCGTCAACAAGCTTGTTCTTCCAATGACATTAGGAAATCATTGCTCAACTCAGCTTATTAAGATCAATTTTACTTAAAAGGCTTTAACATTGTTGTTATTTAAATAGTATTAATTTCTTAAATTCTTCAGTGATTTTGCAATCTTTCCTTCAATGAGGCATTGAAATAATTCGCAGCAGAATGAAGTATAAAGAAAAATTAAATATTTCTCTGTTCAGATCAAGTAACTAATACATTATCAAGTTTGTTAAAACTAAATCAGTTCTTATCTTGTTTAAAACAAAACACACACACAATGAGATTTTAGTGTACTTCTTATGCATAAGTAAAAACGTTTTTTTGCTACTTCTTCGACATTAAAAACCAGCATAAAAGTAATTACGAGAATCCCACCTTATATAAACAGCTAGTATTAAAGATAATGGTATTTTATCACTTTGATTTTAACACAGGTTATAAATCAAGATCATTTGTTAAATAATTGAAGTATCATAACAAAAGTTTCACTTCATCTCAAATATATGTCTCTAGGTATAGCACTACTGGCTGTCTTACTATACTCAATAGTTATACCTTTATGGCCATCGGATATTTCTGAGATAAATAATGTTAAAAACTAAAACAACTACAGCTATTTCTAACATTATGTATATCAAAATATATAGTCAATGTAATATTGATTATAATATATTAATTTAATTGAAGAAATAGTTAGAAAAGCTCATTTGTAGAAAAAGAAATGCCAAGCTATTTTAAGAAAACTAATGACTAAAATTTTGCGAGATACGTCGTAATGTCATCTAAATGATCACTCGTTCGTTGTTCAAAAGTCACTTATTTTAATTAACTACGTGGATTTACCAATTTTAGATGTGAGAGACGTTAATTATATTGTAATACATTTTAGTGTTTTCTTTTTTTTTTGTAAGTATATTAGTATATAATCGATTATTTTCACAGTACAGTATTTCGTTATGAATTACACTCATTCTTATGACCTGAACTATTCTGCAACAGCAGTTCTCAATCTGTAGTACGCAGATTACTGATGATACGGAGACTATTTTCAGGCGGTTCGTGAAAAGGTTGCATAATTACGGAAAAGTAATAGAACCATGATGTATAAATTCCACTGTGGTCCACCGTATTAAAAAAAATCAGGTGGTCCGCGAACAAAAAGTTTGAGAACCACTGTTCTATACAAAACCCTCCGTGCATAATAAACAGCAACATTTGTTTTAAAGCAGCGCTGAAAGCAACGATAATATGAGATGCGACATCTAGCGGTAGTACATTACATTTTGGTCGTGTAGTTAAGTGGGTTCGTGTATATATCACTATGATACTTTTAAGTATCAGTTTGTATCAAAATTTAAGATAATCATTCCCTCTTAACTACATTTTACTACAGGGTCTTATTTAAGATATTTATAATGAAGTAATAATGAACAAGTTTCTTATTTCCAAACTGTAATAATATTAATGGGCGTTTCTATGTTAAATATCACGTAATGATTCCGATACTCATTATTATTAAGTGGAATAAAATAAAGCACGAATTAAACATGAACGAAGCATGATGATAAATATTGAATTAACTTGTTATTTCAAAGCGAGTGCTAGTATGCCAGGTGATGCTAAGGTCGATTTCTTAATCTGTGTGTGTGTGTGTAATAATTCCTACAGTGTTACTACCTACGCATTTATTTTGACTTAATGCAAATAACACTCTTTCATAGGCATAGCTAATCGGTGAAATAGTCTGTGTTGCTTAAGTTAAAACTCCAAGCCTGGATCCTTCAATTTGTTGTAAGATATGTATTGAATTTTTCATAGGAAATCTTATTGTAGTTTATCTGCCGCTTACTGTAGAGGTTTTATATACCAGATTGCTAACCCTATATTGTATGATCACTGTTGAAAGTATAGTTATCCAAGCTCTAATTATATGTTCATAGTTATTTCTCATCGTCTATACCCTAACGAATTTAGAATACGTTGACATGTCCAGCTCACAGGACAGGAGAAGATGGCGGTTAGTGTATAGCAAATGATTTATATCGATTTTATAATCTACAGAGATAAGAAAGCATAATGTAGAAATGATTTCTGTATATAGACCAAATTTTAAACTGTTGTTGACCTGTAAATTACGGCTGGAAACAAAAATAAAACCAGCAAACTCGAACTTGAGTGTGATTTTTTTTTCTCATACTTCATTTAATTTGCATAGAACTTTCCTATAAAAATAATTTACGATGAAAGTTGAACGAAATTATCCAAATACCAATTGTTCATGTGACTAATAAATGCGTTCTATAACCATTCCGTAACATAATCAGCATACAAGCAGAATTAACATGAATCATGTAAAAATATACGTAAACCTTAAATTCATACAAAAACTACAACATTCAATATCTAAGCCCACCTAACATAAAAACTAAAAATACAAACATTCTATCTTAAAAAAACGACAAGCTAACTTCATAACTTTTTGTTCTACTCTTACAAAATATAGTTAACAAAAACAGACTAACTTTACACAAACAGATCTATCTGTAAACCTAACATGATCTGTCCTAATAACACATAATCTAAACAGGAACAAACTACGCAACATTCAAATCTGTAAACTATTCAAACTTTGGTCTAACAAACGCAAAGCTAGCAAAAACAGATTAATCTAAATAGTTAACAATTTAACATCCATGGCAAACCTAATAGAGGAACAGACTACCATTGCAATTAACACAAAAATCAAAAAGCACAAAAACTGCAAGAATATGTCTTTAAAATGCCAATTA